GCTATTCTATCAAGGTGCTAACAATTTTAAAAGTAGCGAATAGCGATTCGCTGTTTGAAAAGTAGTCAACTACTTGGCTACTTTTGGGCAAAATGTAGTTCGCTATAACTACAGCTACTGTTTTAAAAAAGTAGTCAAAAACTACTGGCTACTTGAAAATTGTAGTTCGCTACAGTAGCGAACTACAACTACTTCGCTACTACCCACCCTTGCTGAAAAGACAAATTTTACGGATCTCACCGCGTGAACTGAATCGCTCCGGGAAGATTCATATTCAGCGACTGCAAATTATTTTCTAGTTTACTGTTGTCAGTATTTTGCCCATGGTCTTTTTGTGACAGTAATTTCAATCTCTTTTAATACAGAATTCCATGTATTTTCCAACGCCAACTGTGTGATCTCACCCGTATACAAGATTCGGGCGTCGCATAAAAAATTCCTATCTCCATACGACCACACCTAGTTTTGCATGTCACATGCAATTATAATTTTAAACAGCCAATCCAGTTCTTATCAACAATATGTACTATAAAAAGTCAACTGAGGTCGTTGACGTTTGTGGGAGTGGTACCGTAGCGATGCGAATTTCTGATGTCACTCAACAATGTTGCTATTTAACTATATTGCATGGTGCCATGTAACCAAAGATTAGATACGATAAAGATGTGCCACTCTGCGAAAATTATATCCGAGATTTTTTTATAGCCGCCATTTTGACAGTAAGTGTCAAATCCAACGCCATCAGTCTCTAAATAGTAAAATCCAACGCCATCAGTCTCGCCGCCATTTTGGCAGTAAGTGTTATGCACTCGTCATCTCGCGTGATCACTCGTGATCAGCACGGAAAATTACGGACACGCAAACATTAGGGAAATACGTCGAGTGACACATCTTTATCGTATCTAATCTTTGATGTAACATTGTAACAGACTGAAAAGTCATACATGGTCAAAGATGCGGGTACTGACTATTGGACGTCAATTTAAGTGGAATAGGAAAATTCATACTAAAATTTAAAAATTATGACCGACACCAGTAACACAGACTGGCACCGCCTGTTCAATATATCATTAGAATGCCATGGTCCAAAATAATGCATCAAATCATTCCAAATTGAACTGGATGTTGAATGGTATTCCAAATTGATATATAATTATTTATACAAACACTTGGCAGAGTGGGAAGAATTTTCCAAGGCCTTAAAATTTTTACCTATTTCTTGCATTCAGTTCGACTATTATCTCGTTCGGTTTGCCCAACTTACGTTTGCAATTTGCACAACTTCATTTTTTGGAAGGGGGCAGCTGCCTCGCACGCTTAAGAATATGTCCATCCTATTTTTTATGCTTTATATACTCGTAATGCTAGTATATATATATATATATATATATATATATATATATAAAGATTTTGGTTTACGAAACACAAACAGTGCTCAATACCATATAGATAGAGCGTAATATAGTTTTTCGTGTGGTTTTTTGAGGTAAAACGAAAAACTATATATATATATATATATATATATATATATATATATATATATATATATATATATATATATATATATATATATATATATATAACATATATATATATATATATATATATATATATATATATATATATATATATATATATATATATATATATATATATATATATATATATATATATATTGAATTGCTGCAAAAGCAAAACTAAAACAGCAATGACACTAAAACAAGTTTAGTGGCATTCAGCGATATCCAACTTAAATTTTGATATATGCCATGCACATTTCAATGCCGTATTGACAAAGATACAAGCATTTAAACAGGAGTAAACATTCTTGGAACTGACGAAATTAGCTAAAAATGGCTTATTGAATATTAATATATACTCAAATTGTGTGGTTGCTGATCATGTGGCACATTCCACATTTTATGTTTCAAATAGCCCCAAAGGAAAAAAATCGCATACTGTTAGATCTGGGGAGCGATGGCAAAGGCCAGTCGTCAGCCTTACTCATAACTCAGCCAGGGAATTGTTTTCGAAGGTATTGCATTGCTGGCATGAGAAGGAGCTTCATCTTGCTAGCTGCCACCACATGTCATCGATATTGTGAATACGAAAGTCTCTCTGTACAACATTGTAACGTATGATTCGGAGATGCCCTCTCGTGTCGAAATTTTTTTCAATAAAGTGTGGTCCCAGAACAAGCCAACATCGTCAAACCAACCCACTAATTGAAACAATAATCGAGAGAAAATGGTAATGTTATTCAATTGGTTTTAATAGGGCCTTTTTAGGTAATTCTCGGCGGTTCCAAAAATGTTTGCTGACGTTTAAACACAGTTATCTCAGTCAATATTGCATGAAAAGGTACAAGACATATATCAAAATTTAAGTTAGACATCGTGTATATCATATATATATATATATATATATATATATATATATATATATATATATATATATATATATATATATATATATATATATATATATATATATATATATATATATATATATATATATATATATATATATACATAGATATCATATATAGATATCATATCATATATATATATATATATATGATGACAGAAGTCGTGCTTTAATAACAATAATGCTCTAACAAAGTTGACCAATAAACGTAATTTATTATATTAATAGATTATATTAGAATGTGCCACTATCCAAAAAGTGAGGGGGACGCGTCCCTACCCCCAGAATTGACGCCCTTGGCGTCCTGTCGATAAAATTCTTTATCTGTCATTGACTGGTTCAATAACATCAAAAATAAACCTCGTCATTCCTTCCTCACTTTCGACATCGCAGAATTTTACCCATCAACAACCGAAGAACTCCTTGACAAAGCAATCGCTTGGGCTCAAAACTACGTCACCATCAGTGAACAACAGGTCGAGATTATTAAACACGCACGGAACTCCCTTCTCTTCAGTAACGGTAAAACCTGGACCAAACAACCGGACAACCCCTTGTTCGACGTCACCATGGGGAGTTATGATGGGGCAGAAGTTTGTGAACTCGTAGGGCTATTTATACTCAACTCCCTGGCAAAAAAATATGGTAAAGAACGCGTTGGCCTTTATCGAGATGACGGACTCATTCTCTTAAGTGGGACATCCGCTCGACTTGCTGACAAAGCAAGAAAAGATCTTCACGAACTGTTTGAAGAATTCCATTTGAAAATCACCGCAGAGATCACACACCAATCCGTCAACTTCCTTGATGTCACTTTTAATCTACGCGATGAAAGCTATCAACCCTATCGTAAACCTAATAACGACCCACTTTTCATTGACAGCCGTTCAAATCATCCTCCTGCAATCACGAAGCAACTTCCAACTTCTGTTAACATGCGGATTTCACAGCTATCGTCCAACCAAGAAGCGTTTTCAAAAACCGCTCCTCTGTACGAAGCTGCCCTTCGCCGTAGCAATTAGCAAGCGGATTTGAAATATTCCCCCAATAAGACCAGGAAACGATCACGTAACATCATTTGGTTTAATCCACCTTATAGTACGAACGTAAGAACCAACGTGGGTAGAAATTTCTTAAGTTTGGTTGACAAACATTTTCCCCCATCAAATCCACTACACAAAATATTTAACAGGAACTCGGTGAAGGTTAGCTACAGCTGTATGAACAATTGTAAAAGCGTCATATCCAAACATAACATCGGTATCCTGTCCAAAAGTAAGGCAGCTGCATCACCAACAACAAACGGCAATGATAACTGTAACTGCAGAAACACCGACAATTGTCCACTCCAAAAGAATGGCCTGATAGAAAGTGTCGTGTACAAAGCGGAAGTCGAGGTTGACAAGGAGAGTACCAAAGAATATATTGGCATGATTTCGACAACCTTCAAAAAGCGCTTTGCGAATCACAAAACCTCGTTCGAAAACCCAGACAAACGAAATTCCACCGAGCTATCCAAATACATTTGGCAATGATTAAAGAAAGAGAAACGCAGATTCAACATTAAATGGACAATACTAAAACAAACACCTTCCTATCGCAGCGGCGCAAAAAACTGTGATCTTTGTCTCCAGGAAAAATTGCATATCCTGAAAGGTGATAAAACAAAACTATTGAACAAGCGGTGTGAACTTTTCTCGAAGTGCCGCCACCGGAAGCGATTCCTCGCGGGAAAGTTTGAACGTGCGCACGCTGTGCCATGCATCACGCGTATAATTCAAACATAAGTCCAACGTCATCATACGGAAGATTCAACCGTCACTTGTAACACCGTCACCCCTGATGATCGCACTCAGCGTGAAACTCAGAGTTGTGACTCAATTTTAAGTTAAAATACTATATATATATATATATATTAAATATTACCGAAATTGTGTCAACAGAGAAAGAAAAGTCTGCAGGGCAAAATACTACGAATCCAACATTAAACAACTTAAAGGAGAAGTCCCAAGGAAGTGGTGGAATGAGGTTAAGCGGTTAAGTGGAATAAAGTCGGCAGGCACAAATTTATCCCATCAAATCAATGTCGAAGGATTTACGAACCTCCCTCCACATGAACAAGCTAACACCATTAATACTGCCTTTCTTGCACCCTTGGCCGAATACAGAATATCAGAACCCCTCGAACGTCTTCATTAGAAGCCCCACCAAAATTTTTGGAAGTTACTGAAGAACGTGTTCAAAAAGTTCTTGCGAAACTAAATCCTCACAAGGCGTCTGGACCAGACAATCTACCAAACTGGATTTTTAAAGAATATTCTTATCTTTTGGCCCTTCCTGTCATGAAATTATCAATGCTTCCTATTACGAACAGCAGTTGCCTACCATCTGGAAGAAAGCAAATGTTTCGCCGTTACCAAAAAAAAACCCAGTGACTATATTGGAAAAAGATCTCAGGCCTATTTCCCTGACCCCCTGCATCTCTAAAGTGGCAGAGGAATTCATTGTTGAGGATTATGTTAAACCGGCAATTCTAGCTCGCAAACTCGTCAACCACTATGGCATTAATTAGTATGCTGCATCACTGGTTTATAAACACTGACGGGAATGGGGCAACAATAAGGACAATATTATTTTATCGACCATACAATTCTTGTAAAGAAACTGGGTAATTTGATAAATAATATATATATAATAAATATATATATAATAAATATATATATATATATATATATATATATATATATATATATATATATATATATATATATATATATATATATATATATATATATATATATATATCCCTCAATAGGCCTATATGCTTTTGAACAAATGTAAAGCTCATTTCTTGTTTAAATAAACAAATATGAAAACTAAAATCGTTCAATTGAAATCAACTTGATCAAACTAAAAAGTCAGGCAGTTCATCCGCTGGTGATAATAGAAAAGTTCAGATTTTGACTAATTAAACGCGCATTAGGCCTGTGAGAGGTAGCGGAGGTCAAATCTGAATCTCTCTAATTACGATTAGGCGACGAGGGATGTTGATGAAAATTTACTACATTGTCTTCGGTTTGCTATACACTCTATTTTTACTTGTATTTTTAAAATTAAAGTGAAATGTGATTCAATCCAATTTGTTTTGTTTTGTTTTTTAGTCCGGTGCTGCTCATTCAGTTTGTGAACGTGGTGGGAAATGTGGTGACGGGTCATGCGAATGTGATGTCAAATACGAAGGTGAAAGATGTGATCGGGAGCGAGGTATGTTTCGAGTCAATGCTTTATTTCATCAATTGCAAGGTATTTAAACACAAGCGCTTGTTTTCAAAAGAAAGCCTTGGCCAAGCAATATTGAATATGCCGCTTGACCAACAATGGTGTATCCCAATTAAGACCCGAATAATTTAAACTTGTATAATTAACATAATCCATTGTATAGATTTAATGCATATCATCTAAACTGTTCCAAATTCGTATAGGCAATGAAAATCTATAACTTCATTCAACCTCGTACAAAATTGATTTCCAGGACGCCAAGGGCGTCAATTCTGGGGGTAGGGACGCGTCCCCCTCACTTTTTGGATAGTGGCACATTCGTAATATAATCTATTAATATAATAAATTACGTTTATTGGTCGACTTTGTTAGAGCATTGTTGTTATTAAAGCACGACTTCTGTCATCATATATGCATGATGACAAAGATCGGATTTCATTGGGGACTACTTTGTCCACCCTGTGTATGTTTTTATATAGAAACAACTATATAACTAAAGACAAACTTCACATTGTTTTATAAACTTGCACTTTCTTCTAATATTTTATTTTCTAGTTTTCAAATCATGTGCCGAGATTTTGAGCATATCAAGGTAAATACAAGAGTAACATAATTCGTAGGCAATTAAACTAAATTACAGTATGACCTTGTAATGCTGGAGCACAAGTATTGTTGTTTTGCGTTTTAATTTTATATTGCAAATCCCAATTTTAGTGTAGATCTAGGGGTAGTAAAATTGCGGATGGAAGCGGAATAGTAGTTTGAATATCAATATTTGAGGTAGGAATATGAATATATAGGTTAGGAATATTCAAAATTGACAGTAAAATTCTGTTGTGAATATTGGAAACAAAGTTCTAGTGAATGTTTGTATCCCCCCCCCATAAAAAAGTTATAATGAATATTTGTTCCCCCCTATCTCCCCTGTCGCCAGGTATTTCAGGAATTTTGAAATACACAGAGACTGTACATTAATTCTCATGGCCAGGCATATTACTGCATGCATGATTTGCGATATTGCATCAATTTACTACAATTCTATATTATTTCCTTCTTAGCGATGCAAAAGATGCATGGTGTTTACAAAATAAAGACAGACACGACGTCAAACCACACGAGCGTGTATTGTCAAATGACGTCACTTGTAGGTTGTGCAGGTGGTGGGTGGACCATGGTGATGAAAATTAATGGCTCAAAGGCAAGCTTTTTCTCGTGAGATCATCACATTTATATTCATACGAGTGTTTATATTGCAAGCATATGGTGACTCGAGTGAACATGATAGTCATACAGAGTTTTTTAAGAATAATAGATCTGCACATATATTGTATTCAAACATGTCATAGCAAGAATTAACTTGACCTAATTTCCTATACCTACATGCAAGTTTGCTGAACACTGTGAGGAAGGATATTAGATTTTTTCGAAAATTCCATCTACAAACAACACATCCACCATATATTAGGTTCTATCGAACAAAATTCACCAAAATGTCGCCTTAAAGGGAAATGGTAATATATTTTTTACTTTCTCATTTCAAAGAACTTTCAAGACTATATATACACTAAATTTTTATCGTTTTTTGATCGAAAGGAATGAAATGTCCGCCATCTTCGATTTTTGTAGATATGCATGCACGTCACAACAGGGGTCACGCAATATTTTTATCTAGACAACCACAGATCATTTTGCACTCAAAACTATACTCTGTCTGCCCTTCGAAATATCAAATCATGTTATTTATCATGTTACATAAAATAACACAATATTGTACATTTACAGAGCACATTCGAGTACAATTCAACATTATGGGAGAACAAAGAGAGTTTCAACATTGAAGCTGGACAAACTGCACTTGATTTGGAAGAAACCAAACTACCAACTTTTTGGAGTACTTCATTTAAGGAGCTGTGCATTGGCATGAAAGTTGGAAATGATCTCAACTTTTTGTCCTTCAGTTATCCAGCAAGCTCGCTGTACACTTTGTTCGCAGACCGCATATACAGATCTACAAATATAACGCGTGGAGAATGGAAGTCCTTGCTCGCAGGCTCATCTTTACAAACTGGCTGCCGTAAACAAGGGTTTAATGTGGATTCGCACTTTGTGGATGTCAGATTGGGATACATAGGAAACGAGCAGAATGATTGTCTTAGTACTGACTCATATATAGGTATTGGCAGTAATTCTGGGAAAAATACCTGGTGTCATTCCCAGCGGTCAAAAACTCACGTAAACATTGCAGGGAATTTTGCTGGTTGTTCTGCTGATAATGGGAACGTGGATATTACAGCAATGGCTTATCTTCTGGTTCGTTGAACCATAGGATTATCATATAGGATTATGCTAGAATGAATCATTCAAGTTTGATGCCATTGCATCTTTTTAACTTGGAAGTTGGATATTCAGCGTTGGCGGCAGTAGATAAATTAGAAAACCGTTGTTGTTGATACTCGTGGAAAATATAGGTAAAAGCTAGGATTCCAACGCTTGATACGTACGAAACTCTTTCGTCAGGAAGTTACGAGCAAAGGAGGTCCAAGTTTCACTAAAGTTGTGACGACTGGGATCGACGGTCGAAACGATCAGAAATGATACAAATTTCTTACAGGCACATTTTCTACAACTTTTAGAAACAGAAGATATCAAATAAACTGCATCTTATTTTAAAACCTTTGTTAATGGGCGCAATTGCAAATTAAAATCTCAAGATTACAACTGTACTAGATTTCGGTACATGATTGGTCATGAACGTCTAGACTCTGCAAACTACCATTCATGGACAAATATCTTTAGACATTATTTGTAGCCTATAGTAGTTAATTTTACTGGAGAAAATGCATGAAGTCATAAAGGACTGAGAGTCCACTATAGTAATTCATGGCCCATGATGTCTTCATTTCGCTTTTTTCATGCAGACATTTTGCAGGCACATTTTCAAATATTTGCGGTCCTAGGCACACAAAAAGGTTATCGATCCCCTGTTAACATCCTTCGTCGTTTCGAGCGAAAGCACTTCGTCAATGGCTCCTGATGAAAGGTCTAGTGGACTTGAAAGGTCGGAATGTATAGTTTTTCAGGCCGAGTATCAACAACAACGGCTTTTAAAGAAATAGTTAACACATACAACGAGCAAATTTGAATAAAGTTTCGGACACTGGATGATTTGAAATTTCGGCAATGCTTGTGCGAAGCTTTAAGTTGCCGTCACAGAGCATGATATACCTGACGGGCAATTTCACTTTTTGGAGCGGCAACGCCATTAACGATTTTACCACATTGCCGTCACCAGAAAAATATTGCCCGTGTGTCAGTGGCTAAGTAAACCTGTTTTTACCACACAACTTTGGATAAGTCACAATAGTCTAGTTAACTATATTATTTTTTTCCATTTAACTTAACTTGAACATATCCCGCCTTACGCTTAAAGGGAAAATCGGACAAGAAAGGCGCGGGAAGGATAAATATAGGCCTGATATTCAGGTTACATTCAACTCATCTCAGGCAGTTTTTCTGCTTAGCTATACGGCCTATATCTGACAGTGCATGTGTTCTAATCTAGATCAGTAAATAACTTGTATACATAATTCAAAAACTTATTTCCTTCACCTCGGTTCTTTGCTTTGGGTGCATCATAATATTAGATGAGGTTAATATCGTAGTTACATATTGTTTATAGTTCACTTTAGTATAAAGGATCAATATATATATAGAGAATATATTATGAGTCAACACAGTATATTTAGAATTAGGGGTGCACCGGATTTAGAATTTTCAAATCCGGCCGGAACCGGATTTACCGGATTTGGACAAAAATTCCGGCCGGATTTGAGATAAACCGGTAATGGGGACAATTGGGGGATAAATTGGGATAATTCAGTATTCAAAATGGCGGTTTATGTTTTTTCTATTTTTAGTTAGTGTCAGTTTAGAGTTTAGATTTTTGATTGTGTTTAAACCTTTTTTAAATATCTTTTTGTTAATAACTTAATATTTTATAGTAGTATAAGTGTTTTTTAAACTTTAAAGCTGCCAAATTGATGGTTTATCCCATTCTTGGTGAATTTTTTAAGGTGAAAACAGAAATTTAAATCCGGCCGGATTTTCTCCAAATCCGGCCGGATGCCGGAAAATTCGTTAAATCCGGCTGGAATTCCGGCCGGATTTGAAATCCGGTGCACCCCTATTTAGAATATAACCGCTATGTGTATTATTATGTATATTTAATAAAGAGTTTAACTTCCTCTGCAGGCAAAAAATAATGTAGCACGGCGACTTTCTAAACCTAAGCAACCAGGTGAACCGCGAGATGCTGGTGATCCAAGGAGGAGGCTATTATTTGTAATCAATTTGATTTTCAGTGATATAATTGTGTCAATAAACAAAACATACTCCGAATATTAACAACTTGTAAACTCAATATATGCAGAGCTATTGAAAACAAGAGTCAAATCTTTTTTCAATATCTCATATATTTGCGTTTACAAGATGTTCTAATATTTGGAGTTTTATTTTATCAGAAAAAGTAGTGATTCAAACTTTCTTGAATTAATACACTGAGAACAACACCTCGAAATTATAATAAATTAGCATTAATGTATGAACTTTATTATTATTAAATAATGAAAAATAAATATAAAAAATAAATAGATATACAATATAAATACCACTTCTTTGCGTAGTTCAAGACGTTCATTTTGGCTTTAATATTGCCTGTGTGCAGAGAAAAGAAACGTTGTTAGCACTTATGTTACAATACAAATGTCCAAATAAATTAAAACTATATGGAACTCGCAAGGAAAGTGCTGTCTGGGTACACATTGGGTTTACAGTACTTTGTGTTGTTTTACTTAGCACTAATGACGTCATGAAGAAGCGCTGCTTTCCCCAATAATGAATGTTTACATTCGTGGCCATGCACAAAGATGTAAAGCCGCTGTTACACGTTGCAATTTACCATCTCATCCGCATTTTATTCCCTCATCCGTGTTTTATCCTCTTATCCGCATTTTCCCATCCGCATTTTCTCATCCGTAATATCCGCATCCGCTTTCATCCCTACCCCCGCAACCGTTGCTAAAAGTAGATGCCACTTCTAACTCTTCTCGCAATAATTTTGGCCATTGTAAGCAATCTTACAATCACGGATGGATCCAGCGCTAGCATTATCGGGGAGGGGTGGTGCTCTGCCAGCTCTGGTGCCGAGTTGTGTCGGTCATGTGTGCCGCCCGCGGCCCGCCCATCAACTTGCTTCACCACTGCAAAGTCTTGCTTGACTACTGTATTTGAATTGTAATAGTTGTTCACAGTTCGCTTATCATCATGTTATTATTCAAATTACTGTATCTCATTTTGTCTCTAATAATTTTTTGCTTTATCATGAAAAATGCACCCCCCCCTGCACCCCCTCTAGCAAGGGCTAGGGGGTGCACCCCCCAGTAAATGCATCCCTGGTTACAATCGTTAATGAGACTTGTTTCGCAACATCATTAAGAAAAATTGTAACTTGCACGAAAAATTGCGTAATGCAACAGCCCATTCTCCACTAGGCGAATTTGTAAAAAAGTAGGAACTGATCCAACATTCTCGAGGCTAATTTTTTCCTGACTAATCACATCGCCAAGATTTGTTTTTCGCTTCGCGCGAACAAATTCGCCTAGTGGAAAATGGGCTTTAATTAAATAGTAAACATGCATCGCATAATATGCAAAATAGTAAATCCCCACTGGGCTATAGAGCCTCGTTTTCGTGATTGAGGTTTCGGCGTTGGAGCTACTGTATTTATCTTGTTACTGATGACCTAATTATATAAAGGTGTTTTAGATGATTCATTGCAACAGTCTATGATTTCGTAAATGTGTCACCTGTAACAAGACAAAAGGCCACAAAGTATTTACAGATTTATGCACCTGAGCAGACTGGTGTCGTCTTGGTCGAGATACTTGGGGTTCTCTTCTGTACTCCCACGTGTTCTCTCTTTTCAAGCCTTCACTAGTGCCTATACATAGAACAAGATTAAATCATTTGGAGCATCTCATAAGACATCTACTGCCATTCAACCTTTGTTAAGCCCGGCGCACACTAGAGCTATGTGCTTAGCAAAATGTCTTTCGTGACTGTTGGCGCAAGGAGAAAGCTCTCGTTTGCGGTGCACTTTTGTACGTTTTCGTCACTCGTGACGCGTAAGACAAATATCCAACGTGTTGAATATTTTGTCACGAATGAACATTTCCTCCACGTGTAGCTCTCTATTTTTTATCAGTTTTATTTTGGCACTATATCCATAGTATGGAAATTGCAATTTGTATGAGAATTGGATTTCCACACTATTTTCAACTAAGTTCCATATTATTTACATAGTAACGATTTTGAAAAACATTTCCAGTGTAATATGCCTACGATTATAAGACCAGGTTTATCTTTTACTCCGCAATTCCCCATGCCTAGTTTTTGTTTTGTGCGTGTTGTTCCCGTGGTCCGATATTGTATATTATTGCACTCTGGATTTACATAACATTACCTGATGGAAAGTTCGCAGAATTTAATATGATTGGTGTCCATCTTCGTTCTGTTTCACCTGATTTCCTACAAATAATTAAATGCTTCACGAAAATCTGGTGTAGTTTGTGACTGAGTGTGTTCATATTATAGGCACTTACCACAATAATGCAATATGAACATAAGATCACGCATTATGTAAGTTAACTCGATTATGACCAAACTACTATAC